AGATCCAGAGACTTCATCGCTGAGATGAACTCTGCTCCATTGATGCTCCGTCTCGCGTATGCTTTCTCTCTCTCTCTCTCTCTCAAAATATTCAGAGGTTTCTTGTGGGGATCTTAAAGATCTGATTGGTCCTTTTGATTCCCTATCTAAGGGAGATTGAAAATAGGGATTGTGTTTACTCGATTGTTCTCTTCGCTTTTTGGTAACAAACTCGTTCTTGGTCCTGACAATGCTGGAAAAACGACAATTCTCTGTATGATTCTTTGATTTTTCCCTTACCCTTTTCTGATCTTGCATTTTTGTCAACTGGGTTCTCCCTAATTTTGATAATTGAGTAACTCGATTTCATTTTTTTGTGCAGATCCGCTTCAGATGGGTGATGTTGTCTCCACAATTCCAAGTTGGTACTCTTTCTTGGTTTCTTTTTTGTTTGCATAATCTTTCTTTGTTTGCCAAGAAGATCAGGGGATTGGAGACCATCGGATTCATGATTTACAAATTGATAAAATTTTTAATTTAAAAATTATAGTGCTGATTTACTGCATTTTTTTTTTTCAGAAGTGGAAAGTTTGATACTTCACTCTAAAGTGTCATATTTTCTTATTTTGGAACTTGTGGATTAATTTCTGTGTGTATATATTTGATGCAGCAATTGGGTTTAATGTGGAAATAGTTCAATTTCTGTGTGTATATGTTATGTTCTGGGGGTTGCCATTGTTTGTTGGAGGATAGTTGTTTTGTAGATGCCTTAAGGAACTATAACCCTTAATGGAAAGCACATGAGTCACTATGTTTTTGGTTGCACAATGGTTGAAATTTTTTCTACAATCTAGTAATCCTTGCTTCATTGAAACTTTGTTTTCTATCCATTATTACTACATATTAAACCTGGACAACTTTACTTGTTCAAAAAAAAAAAAAAACATGGACAACTTTTGGTTTCCACTCGGTCTCCACTAAAAATGATCAAAATGGCCCAATGGTCTTGATTGGCAGATTTTTTGATCAATTTCTTTGCATTTTCTATTGTCTGCCTCCAAAGAAATTGTAGTTGATGTTCTTTGCTTTTCAATAGGTTATATTGTAGCATGTTTGGGTCAAATGAAGAAGATGTATTGCTTTTAGAAGAACCTATAGAGAATGTTCATGTAAACATAATACACACCAAGGATTTAGATTGAAAAGAAGTCAACTAAATGAGTCAGCTAAATGAGTCTTTTTTGACCATCCCGATCTGAATTGCACAAGTTGAAGGCTCTATGCAGACAACCATAGTTTATATGCAAATGCTAACAAAATGTTTATTGGAAATAGGTAAAAAAAGCCAAAATTTTTTTTGAATTCAGTGGAATTGTTCTGATTTTTAAAAAAGCAAGGATACTTGTTCAGTGGAATAGTTTGATTCCTGGCCTTGCATATGAGGTCAATAAGCTATCGAAAATCGAATACTTGTTTGTGATATTTCGTTGTCTTGCTGTTCCTTTTGATCTGTATGTTATTGGTAGCAAAGAAATAATACTAATGGATCCTATCAATTTATACTTCCATTACTAAAACAAGTTCCACTAATCGTGAATCTTTCCAAGTATCCAAATAACCTGGGATGAGAGCTGTAAGGTTTACACAACCAAGCTTATTGATAATTTATATATCATACTATTTGGTTATAAATGAAACACAAAATTTAAATACTTAAAAAATTGTTGCTCTACAATTTTGTATATCCAATTTTTTATTGATCATACCGCTGTAAAATATTTGATTCAAATAATTCTTCTTGAGCTTTCCGAGTATTTATTTGATTAGATATTGCAAAATGTTTATTTATTTATTTATTTATAATGTACATTATTGAAGGGACATCCTTTTGTTATTGTATATGCTACTTTATGCTATCATTCTTTTCTAATCATTGTGCAGGTATGTGGATGTGATCCTTCAGTTGATTGATAAAGCAGGCGATTTTGTCAGTGATGACATTTGGTTTCGTGTTGTGCAATTTGTTACAAACAATGAAGACCTACAGGTGACTAAAACGTTTCTTACATATGCTTCATTATTTGTCTTGTCTTTTTATGAAATTCATTCATTCACTATTTGCCTTACACTTTTTATATTTCATTAGCTTTATGCAGCAGTAAAAGCCAGGGAGTATCTTGATAAGCCTGCTGTACACGAGACAATGGTCAAGGTGTGTATATTTTTGCCCATAAAGCTATGTATATTTGCCTTACATATATTTTTTTTTATGATTCATAAAGCTGTGTATATTTTGCCCATGATTCATTTACATATTCTCATAAAATGTGAAAAAGAATATATTTTAGGTGTTAGTAACTCAAACATTAGAGCTAATGTTTAGTTTGACCCTTTGGTGCTGATACAACCTCACATTGTTGTGGTACACACTTTTAGTTTAGCAGTAAATGCATTTTATTGATATTGCATGTTGTTGACATGAAGAATAAGGACTTTGTTGGACTTGGAATCTGTGGCTTTTTGTATTAGGCTTATACAAAGTCTGGTATTTTTGTTTTTTACAAAATGGGCATATTTTGGATTTTGCCAGCTCTGAACTACCTTCTAATGTTTAATATTGTGTCCTCTCTTTGATAGATTAATTTCCAAGTTCCTAACCATTTCATAATTTTTTATTTAATTAATCAAGTTATTTATTTATTTATTTTGGATAAGTAAAAATCATTTCATAATTTAATTACGCATCCCAAGATTAATTATCGAGGAACTTTTTTTGGATCAAATCAATTGCCAGGCATAATTGTATTTGGGCATTGGGTTTTTTAGGAGCAGGTCAGTGCTTATATCCTTGGAGTTTACAGTCACCTTCTGGCCAGACGGCCTGGGTGTAGTCCAAAGGAGATTTTTAGCATCATACATGAGAAGCTTCCTACTGTTTCGGAAGGGCACTTGAACTTCTGCTTTCTTGGTAATATTTGTTTTTCATCATTTAAGTAACTTAATGGACATTATGCATCATCAGGACTTCTACAATTTCCATTATTCTTTCAACATATGCTAAGATTTTAATGCACAATCAACCCCCAGACCCAGAATTACAAAATCAAATTTGGGCAATTTTTCACGAGTGAGTTTTAACCCATTCTGGATTGTAATTTTTTCCTTTCATTTATTTGGAGCTTGTGGTTCATGTTTTCTCACAAAATGCCTTGAAATTCTTTTACACTGTCTTGCCCTTCTTTCTTTCCAGATATGAGAGTTGTATTGATGTTGAGATACAGCAAAGAGCTGTTGAATATTTTGCATTGTGTAGGAAATTAAGGTGCAAATTTAGTGGATATATTGGATGAAATGCCTAAATTCCCCGAGCGCCAGGTATGTGATCTACAACATTTGAGTACAATCGGATTCAACCCAATTTCTTTTAAGAATTGTTAGCCCAGTTTCTTTTAATATATATCTATATATGTGCACATATGTATATACATGTATGATACTATTTATGACGCTGATAATAGTATTTTCTTTTGTATTTAGTCTGCATTGATTAGAAAAGCTGAAGATACTGAAGATGATACTGCGAAGCAAAGTGCTACTAAGTTGCGGTCACTGCATCAAACTTCTAATGCATTGGTAGTGACTGACCAACGCCCTGCCAATGGAATGTCACTTGTGAACCAGCTTGGTCTGGTGAAAGTGCCCAACATGAGCAATGTGGTGAGACATGTTTGAGCTAGATTTTATGAACCATAGAGTTGACAATTTGAGATTCTATTAATTTTAGCTTCACTTAGAAACTGATCAGGGGTTGACTATTTGGACAGGATCATAACTCAATAGATCAAGGGGTGACTGAGGCGAATGGGACTCTGACTGTGGTGGATCCACAACCGCTTGACCCTTCAGCTGACCCTTCAGCATGGACCACTTTCTCCCCTCTTTTTTTCAATTGATGTCTTATCTACTTTCTCTTTCATTTTTTTTAATTTTTTTTTTAGGGAAAAAATTACATACACACACAAAAAAAAAAGGCCACGGTCGGTTTGACCATGAAATTATGTATGGAATTATATTTTTGAGATTGGATTATACTTGATTTGTATAGAATTTTTTTTTGGAAATATTAATTTGATGTTAAATATGATTTTTTTTTTTTTTTTATGGTTGAAAGTGAAATGTGTGTGTGTTGTGGAATGGTTGCTAATTTTATCAGTATATATAGATAATTTTATTTATAAAATGGGAAAAAACTTTTGGCTACTAAATATTTGGTAGCTAAAAATAAAAATAAAATGGAGAAAAACTTTTGGCTACTAAATATTTAGTAGCTAAAATAAAAGCAAACTTTAGGAAACTAAGAATTTAGTAGCTAAAAAAAATAAAATGAAAAAAATAAAAAAATAAAAAGATGAAAAAAATCCTTTGGCGACTAAAAATTTAGTCGCCAAACGTGCATTTTGTTGTAGTGACACTAAACATTTCAAACCATAATTCCATCCTACCACCTTCAACTTCCCAGCTATCCATCGCTACAAATTAGCTCCTTTCTAGCCCCCACCACCACAATACCCCTCATCAACCCCACGTAATACCCCTCATCAACCCCCCTGTGACCAAGGATGGATTTAGAAGGTGCGGATGAGGGCAATTGTACCCTCAAAAGTATTTTTGTGGCGTAAATAAAATCACCCTAATCCAAATGTACGTTGCTAAAGTGTTTTCCAAACAATACAGTAATGTGGTGCTTGGTTGAGGGATTTGGGAAGAGATTTGGAAAGGAAAAAGGAAAAGGTGTGTAAAACTAGGTGAAATATAGGTATATTTTATTCACATTTCACCAAATTTTTCCCTTTCCCTTTCCCTTTCCAAATCCCTCTTCAAATCCTCCAACCAAACACAGCGTAAGGGATTGGCTTAAATTTCCATTACCCAGCCTACAAACACAAGTTGGAACAATTGTGCTTGGAAACTTCTTGTTACATATATATGAAGATGCAACCACCACACAAAGAAACAGGAAAGAAGGAAAGTGTACACTGATAACTAGTGATTCCATACAATAGGAAAGAAGGGAAGTGTACACTGACAACCAGTGATTCAATACAATGCAATACAATACAATAATTTCACCCTAATCTTTCAAAAAAATGTTTGAAATTATTCTGTGAAAAACCACCCCCCTTAATAGCCTCCAAAGCAAACCCTTTCTATTTCACAACATTCTTTCTAATCTCCTCTCCCCTCTCTCCCCCTCTCATCACCACATCCAAACACCTCTCAATCTCCTCCCTCTCCACCACTTTCTCTTCATTCACCACCGCTCTCACCCCTACCCCCCACACCTCCTCCACCATCTTTGCATTCGTCATCTGATCCGAAAATACCGGACACCCCACCATCGCCACACCCGCAACCACACTCTCTACCGTCGAATTCCAACCACAATGCGTCACAAAACACCCAATTGAACGGTGTCCCAACACCTCCAATTGCAAACACCACGACACTATCAACCCATTTCCTGTACCCAACTCAGCCTCAATGAACTTGCTTGTTTCCACTTTTCAAAAAACACTTTTCAAAAAATTCTACTTTCTTATTTTCCGTATTTTTTTTGTTTTTAAGCAATTTTTTTACTTTTTAGACACACTTAACATAAATACACCTAAAAAGTAAAAAAATTGTAAAAAAAATCTTTTAAAAATTCACTAAATACCAAAAATACAAAAACAAATACAAGAATTCAGTACGTTTTTTGTATTTTTATATATTTATTAAAATTTTAAAATATTTTTTCACAATTTTTTTACTTTTTAGATACATCTAAGTAAGGTGCATCTAAAAAAGTAAAAAAAATGTTTAAAATTTAAAAAATATTCACTAAAAACAAAAAAACATGAAAACCAAAAAAGTCAATTTTCAAAAAGCTTAATCCAGAAAACTCAAACCAAAAACTCAAACCAAAAGTCAAGAGTCTGTTTGGTAACGTTTACGTTTTCGATTTATATTTACAAAAATTTTATAAACTAGTTTTTGTTTAGTTTTTGTTTATTTTTAGAAAAACATAAACTACAAACGCGTTTGGTAATTGACAAAATGTTTAAAAAAATTTAAAAATATAAAAAAGAGTGAGAAATAACAAGTGGCGACGGAAAACGGTGGTGGAAAGTAGTGACGGTGGGTGGTGGGTAACTCGTGGTGGTGTGTGGGTGGGTGACGGCGGTGGATGGTAGGTGGTAGTGAGTGGGAGGTGGTGGTGGGTGGTGGTGGCAGGTGGATGGCGGATGGCGGGTGATGGTGGTGGTGTTGGGTGGGTGGGTGACGGTGGCGGGTGGTAGCGGGTGGGGGGGGGGGGAAGATGTGGTGGGTGGTGGGGGGGGGGGGGGGGTGGGGGGGGGAGGGGGGGGGGGGGGGGGGGCGGGGGGGCAGAGGACAAAAAACTTGGGTCGAGGTCGCTGCACCGTCTGCTAGATCTTTCATCCCTCTCAGGTATGTACCTCCCACTCGTAACGAGGGGTATGTTAGTGTTGAACTACCACCTAGACATTACTCCCTTGGAAAATGGGATTCATGCCTAGTGGGCTATTTTCTGGATAAGAGCGTTTCCTACAATTACATGAGGAACAGTGCTCTTAGTATGTGGAAAAGCAAGGGTTTGAAGGAGATTTTAGCAAATGGGGAAGGTTTCTGGTTTTTCATCTTTGACGATCCAGACTGCTGTAAAATGGTTCTTGAGGGTGGGCCATGGTATGTTGGGGGGTTTAACCTAATCCTAAAACAGTGGACCAGGATGATGAAACTTACAAAGGAGAAAGCTACCAAAGTCCCTGTTTGGGTTAGACTTTTTAATGTGCCTATGGAATACTGGGATAGTGATGGACAGAATTTTTTTATTTTTTAGATACATCTAAGTACCACCATGCTTCCAAACGACACGTAAACGACGGAGCAATCGGGTTTTGAATCCAACCATTGAATATAGTCCTCTCCAGATCGCTCGAACAAGTCGATTTTAATGGAATTTTTGGATTGAATTAACGGTCCGATTGCAATGACCTTCATGTTAGCAATGGCTCTGATTGAGTCTTGTTCAAAAGCATCGAATGTGTTTACGAGAATCAATGGATTGGGGTCTTCTTTTAGGGTTTGTATGTGTTCTTTGATTGTAGGTATCACAGAACTGTGTGGATTCTCAGGTGAGAGAAACGAAGGTACGTCGTCGCTTGAAAACAATGGCAGTCCAGGTAATTTAATGGAAATCGAAGGGTTGTTGAAGTAGGTGTGGAATATAGCGAAAGTAGTGGCGGACTGAATGGAGAAGAAAGCGGAGGCCACGTGCATGTCACGTGCCACGGCCGCGGCCCAGGGGAGGAGGATGGTGTAGATTATGAAGGTCACCGGAGAGCCGCCATGAGAGAGGGTGGTGAGGAGGTGAGTTAGGGTTTGGGAGCCGACTCGCTTGAACTCGGACATGACTCGGGTTTGATCGGTGGTGGGGTGATCGCCGTCGTCGAAGCCGTCGGAGAAGGAAGCGTAGGAGAGGCCGGGGAGGGTGGGGAGAGTGGTGGTGATGCCGCGGAGGCCGCGGACGGTGGTGGCGAAGGTGACGGTGGCGCCGCCGCCGTGGGTGAGGAGGAGCTTGGCGAGCTCTAGAGTGGGGTTGACGTGGCCTTGGGCAGGGCAGCAAAGAAGAAGGAAGTGGGGGTTGGTCATGCTAGTTTTACTGGTTTCAGTGGATTTGTTCATGAGCAAGATTATTATGTTGGGGTTTAATCTTGTTTATGGATGATCTCGATAAGACATGGCTGTCATCTTTGACTTTTGAATGCAATTATTTTTGTAACAAAAAATAATTTGCTTAGTTTCATTTTTTTCAAAAATTCTTTTCACAAAATTTTATTTTTTATTTTTTTATATTTTTTTATTTTTAGTAAATTTTTTTAATATTTTAAATAATTTTTAAAAAATTTTAAGTATATTTATATTTGATATGCATTTGACTTTTATTAGCTGAGCTTAATTGTTTAGTAATTTTGTGATAATATTTAGTAGGAATTAAACATTCTTAGATGTAATTTAAATCAGCAACAATATCAATTAATGGTATGACTTCTAATCCAAAATTATTAATAACTAATTTGATTTTTGAATACCATTTATGGATATTAATTCGAGTGATTAAGTTGAGGCGATTACTATCATGATCACTATTAGGGGGAGTAGATCTATTATCAAATATGACTTAGATGGTACAAAGATGTTTTTACCTCTCGAGTTGTGCTTAGAGATGATTATACTAAATCTTTTTAGAAAGAAAAATTCATTAATGGATTAGTCAGTCTTTTTGCTTATAAGATTAAAGATGTCCTTAGTCAATCCTCTGGCAGTATAAAATATGATAATTTAACCTATGGTGATATAATTAGTACAATTGAAAAAGAAGGATTACATATGTGCATTGACTTAAAACTTAGTCAAAAAACTGCTAAGGATAAACACAAAGCTAAAAATAAATTAGGAAATTTCTGTGAACAATATTGTTTACTTTCTGTTGCACCTTCTAGAAGAAAATACAGTAAAAAGAAATCTTCTTACAAATATTCTACTAAATATAAAAAGAACTATTCACCCTCCAAATCCACTGATAAATTTTATACTAAACCTAAAAAGAAATATTATAAGGAATCTAATCCAAATTCAAAATCAAAATCTGCCAAAAGATATTACTTGCTATAATTGTGGTAAAAAAAGTCATCATTCTAATAAATATAAAGTTAAAGAAAAACTTAAAGCTAAACTTAATCAATTACAGCTTACTGATGAAATTAAACAACAAAGTAAAAAATTAAAAAAATTCACAAAATACAAAATATATATATATATAAAAAAAACGAGAATTCAGTACATTTTTTTATATTTTTATGTATTTATTAATTTTTTAAAATATTTTTCCATAATTTTTTTACTTTTTAGATACATCTAAGTAAGGTTCATCTAAAAAAGTAAAAAAAATATTTAAAATTTTAAAAATATTTACAAAAAAACAAAAAAAAATATAAAAATCAAAAAATTATCCCAAAAACTCAAATCAAACACACCGATAATTTTTTTTTTGGTTTCAACGCGAAGAATAATGATTTTATCCCTCTAATTTTATCTTTAATGATACTCCCTCCGTCCCAAAATATTAGTCCCTTATTCCATTTTTCATTGTCCCAAAATATTAGTCCTTCTTCAAAAATCAAGTACAAAAACAATATAAATTTTCTATTTTGCCCTTCCTTTAAATTAATAAACAATATAAAAAGTATAATTATGACATTGATATTCTCAAAAAATGTACTATCAAAAGGGTAATTTTGGAAAATTAACTTTTTTTAAATGCAATAATTATACTACCAAAAAAAGTTAGATTCCCCAAAAGGAACCAATAATTTGGGACGGAGGGAGTATAAAATTAATTTTATCTTTAATGGTAAAAAAAAAAAAAAGTTAAAAATGAGAAGAAGAGCTGTATGAGACCAAAGCCGGATTTGACTTTTTCAAGGCTCAAAGTGAAGGACTTTTCATAGATGCAGTGTTGCTGTGGTACAAAAGCTAGGACTTTTCATAGATGCAGGGTTGCTGTGGTACAAAAGCTACTACTGTGCAACACTATGGCACAGTGGCACCGTTTTGTGCTTTCTGTTTCAAATTTCAAAATATTTATTCTCTCAAAATTCTTTTCTTTCTCTTTGTCCTTTTAAATAAAAAATTTATACAAAATTTTGATAGATAATCTATGTATATATATAAATAAATAATTTATACAAAATTTTTATAGTAATATAATTAATGTAAGTCTTTTATTTCAAAATAAAACACTTATGAAGATGATTTTTATTTATAAAAATGACACCATCACATAATTCTTGTAGTATTTTTTGAACAGTATTAACAAAATAATCATTTAAAAAAATTGTATTATGTGCGCTCTTAAAAAGGTCCATATGTCATACACTTCATAATATACCACAAAATAACATAGTAATTTTTTTGACCACACCAAAAAAAAAAAAAAAAAAAAAAAAAAAAAAAAAAAAAACTTTTTATTAACAATAAAAAATGAATAACTTTTATCACAAAGTGGCATAATTTCATCATTCGTAAATTTTTTTTTGAGAATCAAACAAAACAGATGGAAAATATGTTAAGTAGGAAAGTGGTTTACAGACCGAGCTAAGTCATGAGCTGGTTTTACATCATGCCGCTGAACCTTACAGACACACAAATAATCAAAAAACTTACTAACCAGCTTAATGTCTGCTACAGTAGTACTAAGAGACCAAACAGGACACTTCCGAGGACGGAGAATATCCATCAAAAGCTTGGAATCTGTCAAGATCTGAACATGATGAAACTTCTACTCCTGCGTCCATTGAAGTGCGTGATGACAAGCCAGTACTTCCATTGCCAAGGGAGAATCAAGTTGCATTTGTTGAGCACTTTGAGCCACTAGTTCCCCATTGTCATTATAACAAATCCAGGCTATTCCAACACTACCATCTTCCTTATGCCAGGAGCCATCAATGATTACTGTATATTCCTGTAGAAAACCATCAAGAAAATTAGAGTTTGCCAAAATACAAGAGTTAAGTTCCAAGTTTGGTGGGGAATTTGTAAGCAATGATAACCCTTGATTGGAAGGTTGGTTATCCACATCTTGTTCCCCTTGTTGGACATGTAAAGACAAGACTAATTCCTGTGCTAAATTAAGAGTTTGATCACTCGACACCACATTGCCGGTAAACACTAGACTATTGCGTTGTTTCTATATAACCCACAACAATACCATGATGTGAGTAATGATCTTTGGCTCGAGGGAATGCTGTCTCCAACTGCCTAACTAGACGGGGAAAATTAGTGGTTCTCTGTGGGAAAAATCCAAACCCAAAAAACTGCCCCTCCAAATTCATTGTGATTCGGGACATTTGAAAAATAAATGTTCGAGAGGTTCATCTTCATGCTTGCAGGGTGGGCATAAAGCATCATTGAGCACAGCCCCGACATTTCAATGAAAAATAAAGATATTGCATGGTGCTAGTGGTGTGACACCTAGGCAAGTTTAAAGTAGTGTAAATTATTCTATACAAAATGTATATGCAGTGTGCTAATAAGAAAAATTCTAAATAGACAAGGCCATATGGCTCGTATCACCAAAGCAAGTTAATAGGTGTATCAACACATATATCATCTTCATGTGGAAAGAAGTTTAAACGAATTGTAAAATTCATTCAGAAAATGTACAAGGAATTTAAAGAAAGTAAATGGGTCATATATATATGCATGCGCACGCTCGAATTTAAAATATACTCATGAGAAAGATTCTTTGTCTCTTCGTCGAGCTTCCTAGTGTTCAAAGTAGTGCTACTCAAGGTAGCTTTGTTTTAGCCCGCGCTTGCTGTAAGAGAAAGTATGAATTATAAGCACTGGTAGTTAACAAGGTTGTTAAGATCGCAATCCGAATCGTAGGATTGTACGATCCTACGATCCAATATACACCATTCAATCCGACTCGTACTTTGGATCGACCCCATATCAGGATTGTGGTGGGATCGTAAAAGGGTCGTTGGGATTATTTCTGGATCGCGACTCCATGCGATCTAGATTTGAAGCTTTTTTTGGCAACTTAAAGGCAAAATCGAGAGCAAAAAGACAGAGAAGCAAAGCAAGCAAAGAAGCCTGACTTGCGATTAGGGCAATACAAATTGGGGAAAAAGAGAAATTCAACATCCAATTTTAGAATTTGCAGCCACAACAAACTAGGTACGCTTCTTCTTCTTCTTCTTCTTCTTCTTTGAATCTTCCTCTTTCTTCGTTGCTTTCTTCGCTGTTCTTCTCCCTCTTTCTTATCTAGAGGAATATATAGATTAAAACACCATTTGGCATGCACTCATCAAAATGTCGAACCATGTCCCCAAGTTCCGGAAGATGTTAGAGAAAAATTTATGAGTCTTTTAAGAACTCAAACATTAGAGTCTCAAAATAAGAAAAGGAGGGTGCTTGATATTGGTGATGATGATTTTGATGAAGAAGTGAAACTATTGCATGCTGTGCATGAAAACAAACAAAAACATTATGGGCGTATGGATAAATTTGTGGTGAATAAGTCTCGACACCAAAATCAAAAAACTATCAATCAATTATTTAAGAAAAAAGAGAGAGATGATGTTTGTCAAACAATCGCTCGATTTTTTTAGACTAGTGCAATTCCTTTTAATTGTGTCAACAACCCTATATTTCCACTTATGGGCAAGAAAATTGGAGATTATGGAAAAGGCCTTGTGCCACCATCATACCATGAAATTAGGGTGACATTTTTTATAAAAAGAAGTGCGTGAGACATTGAAATTACTTGATGAGTTTAAGGAACAATGGAAAAAGACCGGGTGTACAATTATGTCTCATGGATGGTCGAATAGAAAGAGAAGATCAATTTGTAATTTTATTGTCAATAGCCCTAATGGAACTATCTTTCTATCATCATTGGATACATCCAACATTTCAAAAACTAGTGAAAAGGTTTTTGAGATGTTAGATGAGGTTGTTGAGAAGGTTGGAGTGGAGCATGTTGTGCAAGTGGTGACCGACAATGCTTCTAATTATAAGTTGGCAAGAGAAATGTTAATGGATAAGAGGAAGAGCTTGTTTTGGATGCCTTGTGCTGTTCATTGTATAGATTTGATGTTAGAGGATTTTGAGAAGCAAATCCAACTTCATCGAGTTACAATTGAAAAACGGAAAAGAATTGTGGCATACATTTATTCAAGAACAAATCTTATTCATTGGATGAAGAAGTTCACTGAAGGTATTGAACTTATTAGGCCCGCGGTAACTCGGTTTTTCACATCTTACTTGACCTTGAGGCACCTTCATGAGCAAAATAGTGCATTGTTCTCTTTGTTTGCATCATCCAAGTGGAGGAATAGTCGATTTTCAAGGTCTAAAAAGGGTAAAAAAATTGAAGATATTGTTTTAGATAATCGTATTTTTTGGAAGGGCGTTTCTATGTGCTTGAAGGCTGCGGTACCTCTCATTAAACTACTTAGATTGGTAGATTCGGATGAGCATCCGGCGATGGGATTCATTTACGAGGCAATGGATCGTGCAAAAATAGAAATTCAAAGTAATTTCAATAATGTTTTCTCATGGTAAACTTTTATTTAGTTAAACTTATTTACTTTACTACAATATTTCCTTAAACTTTTTACTTGTTCATTAATACTCTTTATTCAATGGTGTTAGCTATGATCCTATATGGACCATCATTGATAGAAGATGGGAATCCCAACTCCATAACCCATTGCATGCTGCAGCATACTTCTTGAACCCTCAGTTTCATTACAGTCCCAATTTTTGGCCAGATACTGTGGTAAAAATTGGGTTGAACAAATGTTTTGAAAGAATGGTTACTGATGCTAATGAAAGGGTGAAGATAGATTTGCAAATTGATGCATTAAAGAGTGCAAGAGGACTCTTTGGCATACAAAATGCAATCATGACTAGAAAAAAGAAATCTCCAAGTGTTTTTTTATTTTTACTATAAGTTGATTTGTATCATTTTTAATATCTTATTATTTGTTTTCATTTCATCAATTTTAAGTTTATAACTAAATTTTCATGGAGCTGATTAGTGGGACTCTTTTGGTGATAAATGCCCTGAGTTGAAAAGGTTTGCAATTAGGATATTAAGTTTAACATGCAGTTCATCGGGGTGTGCGCACAATTGGAGTGCTTTCGAGATGGTACATTCAAAGTGGAGGAATCGTTTGCACCAAAAGAGAATGAATGACTTGGTGTTTGTCATGTATAATTTGAAATTGAGACAATGACATATGAATAGATAAGCAATCGTGAATCCATTATGTTTGGATGATGTCCCATCAGATGATGAATGGATAACAGAGAGAGACTTTGACTCTTCCAAGAGAAGGAAATTGGTTGAGTGTGCTTGATAGGAGTGCTCGACATGGATGTGATTCGGATGAAGACGAAGTGGAGGCCCTTGCAAGTAATTTGGAACAAGCTTGTAAGTTTATGCACACATCTTTTAGTTTTAATTAGAAATTATAACTTTAGTTTTACTTTGAATTTTTTTGTTTACTCTAACTTAGGTCGTGATCATATTGGTGGAGAACATGATGAAGTTCATGAAGTAAGTGATGATGATGCTATGGATCAAAACATGGATGCTTGAAGGGATTTTGATCATGACTTTGAAGATGCTACTATTGGTGAAGACATTGAGGACTTAGATGGCACCGTAGGTGGTGATGGTGATGATGTGGCAATGATTAATGTTGATTGTGGCAATAATGATAATAATTTCGGCGACCATGATGACTTATTTTAGTATTTTATTTGCTCTTCCTTTATTTAGTTTGTCTTGTTTTCATTAAGAAACAATGACAATGGTGTGCAAGTGTTGGTATTTGCTTTTATTATGTTTTTGACTTCTTTTTTTGAAAAAATATGTTTGAGCGGTACTTTGAATTGCTATATTTTCTTTTTTGGGGCTTCTTCTATATATATTTTGATAGTGTTACTTCATCATATAAAACTTATTGCACTTTTTTTTTTTTATCATTTTAGTAGGATCTTGCGATCCTCGATCCGATTTAATAGACCCCCACAATGATCCTGTGTAGAATCCCGATCTTAACAACTTTGGTAGGTAAGTTCAAATAACTAACAAATACCCAACTCTCATCATATTGTAAATACGAAACATGCAATAGCCCTGTTTGGTAGAGCTGTGGGAAAGTGCTTATAGCTTATGCCTAAACAGCTTATAGCTTATAACTTTCAGCTTAAGCTGATTTCCAGCTTATTCTTAAAGCATCTCCTGCCCCACTCAAAGAATAAGCTGATTTCTGACTTCCACAAAGCTATAAGCTATAAGCTATAAGCTAAACCAAACACATCAAAATAGCTTAAATTAAGCTGAAAGCTGAAATAAGCTGTAAATAATTTCTGCCAAACACGCATATTGTAGGGCTTATTTCCACTTCCATGGCTTTCCATACTTGTGATCAC